ATTAGATGTAGTTCAGCTGACCAAGTTAGCTGCTTTGAATGAGGAGTTAGTTGCACTAGATAAGGAGGAGAAGCTTCATCCAGATGTAGTTCAGCTGACTAAGTCAGCTGCTTTGAATGAGGAGTCAGTTGCACTGGATAAGGAGGAGCAGTTTCATCCTAGGCCTGCTCAAATGTCTAACAAAAACTAGTTGTTATATTTGAAGACTCATTCCCTATAACAAATAGGAGTAAATATATTAGATTAGTTAGACTACACTTCTATATAAAGTGTATATGTGATGTACTTCAAATCATCCAATGAAACAATAGTTTTTAAAACATCTCTGCTTATAATTCTTTATAAGGAGTAAGGTCCGATTCAAATAACCTTCTAATTCTGCTGACCAAATTGCTAAGTTTGCTCGTTCATATCTCAATCAGTATTGGCAATTCAATTCTACTCCTCGGTTAAATCATAATATGATCATTACTCGTGTTGATCATATCGTTGGTTTGCTCAAACCCGAGTATGTTGAGGCTATTTCAATCAAGTTGGTTGCTGAGGCTAGATATGATTCAGTTGTGTTAGAAGTTGACTCTCAACGGATCATAGATGCAATATGATGTGGAGCTACAAATTACTCTAAAGTTGGTATATTTGTTGATCAAATTCAGGGATTTTCTGTGTCTTTCGGAGTTTTCTGTGTCATGGGTTCATAGAAAAGGCATTGAGGTTGCTAATAGCCTTACAAAATTTGAGAGAAATTGTATGGATCCTATGTTATGGAGGGGGGAGTCTCTTGTATTCTTGACATCTTTCCTCCAACATGATGTAAATTTGTTGTCTTAATGAAGTTCAAGATTGTTTCAATCAAAAAAATAACAAAACAACGAAATTTTGTATAGTAGAATTAACGAGCAACACTGGGTGTCTCATGTGACCCATTTAAAAAATTTTAATGAATAAATTTGATAATATGCTAAATTTTCAACAATAGCGAACATTTCTTAGGATAAATTTGTCTTTCTGAATGGAATTGATTTTTAGCACCCAAAAAGCCGTTGCTTGAATTTATTAACACAAAATTAGGCATGAGGGACTTGTCTAATTACAACTTTTTTTTTTTTTTAGGTTATAAGGTGTAAAGACTTGCTCTAACTATTCTCTCAAACTTGGAAGCTAGCCACAGTGGTTTAAGTTGGGTTAGAGTATGTCCTTAAAAAGAAAAAAGTGGCTAGCCATTAATAAGCATGGAAACGAATTGAACCTGAAACATCAGCATTACTAAAAGTCGAACTCCACCACTTTACCAACCGTAAGAGTTGATAAAATTCTTTTGCTCAATTCTATGATAAGCAAAGTTTATTTATATTCATAGTTCATAAACATAATAAAAATAAAAATAAATTTTACATGTGACGATAAAAAATTGTTAGTGCTCTATATAATATACAAAATAAGGAGCGGCTCAAGAACATGTGAGGCCTTAAGCGATGAGTGTTAATGAAGTTTTTTTTTTAATTTTTATTAAATTCTGAAATTTTAAATTAATTTTTATTTTGAATCTTTTATGAGAATGATTAATTTTATTAGTGTTTTGTGTTTTAAATGATAACAAAATCGAGTTTGAGAAAAAGAATGTATTGAGGCTTTTTTTTTTTTATACAAGAGAGAAAAAGGTTGATGCTTATTATATTATTTATTATAGGATAAAATCATAAAAAAATTGATGGTATCAGACTTTCTTGCTAATTTTTTTGTCCTTCAACAAATGAGATTATATGAAGCGAATTAGACATTTGAGCCCAAATTTTAAAATTATTTTTGTTGGTTTATTTTTTGTTAAAATTATATTATCAACCTCTTAAATTTGAGATCTTATTTATATCTGGGCCTAAATTCCACACTTAATTTTTTCTACCATTGACTGGCACGGTATAAACCCATCTTATTTTGATTTTAGACTATTCATACTTCTCCTTCATAGAAAATCAATCAAATCATATTCAAATCTATTTGGTTACAAAATATGTATATCAATAGGTCTTTGGTCCAATTAGGGGTGTTCACCCTACCCTATGGGTAAGAAATTTAGTCTTTCGTCTTCCTATCCGATATTTTGTGGAAAAAATTTTTCTTGACTTATCCTACCTGATCAAGTGTGGTATTCCTACCCGATTAATCAAGTAAAAAATCGGGTAAACATTTTCGTATCTCTTAATTTTTGAATCATTTTAATAATTCAATTAAATAACATGCACCAATTTAACAACACAATAAATCAATAACACTAAAATCTAAAACTACTACAACAACAATTACAATAAAACACAAGAAAATATGAAAATCAATCCATCATAATTATTACACAAATACAATAACAATTATTTTAAGTTTAAACCATATGAAACACATTAAAATCAACACTGCTCCAATAAATTATTAGTTTACCACAAATCATGTAACCTACATAAGAAAACAAGTCCATATTTTAACAACTCAAATATCCACAACAATAATAATTTTATAATATAAATTATACCACACAAATACTCTTATAATTACTAAAAAAATATAAAAAAGTTAAATATATTTTTTACGGATAGGGTAAGGTAGGAATGCAGAAATTGATGGGTATTTCACATTCCTACCCAATTTAATCGAAAGACCAAAATTTTTTTTGCATTCTTACCTGATTTTTGTGGCTAGCCGTTTAGTAGGGTAGGGTAAAGTCAAGTAGGGTAAAAAATTGTGGTCAATCAAAATTTTGAACACCTCTAGGTCCAATGGTACTCTTTCTTTTGTGAAAGTTTTGTACTCTTGATATCAAGGGTTCAAGCCTCTTTTTTCCTTATCCCTCCCCTCCCAAAAAAAAATAAATAAATAAAAGCAAATATGTATTCGTATTATTGAACATGAATACGTGTTAACAGATTTAAAATACCAGGAGATGCGTAGTGTTATTTGGACCTACTTTACCGGTTATTCTTTCCCCATAAGTAAATACTTTACCAATTTAGCAGCTACGCGGAGAACAAGAGCCAAATCCCGATAGCCACACCAATCTTTTTCCAAGCTAGTAGTTAACTTTAATGTTTCGTTTGGCAGAAAAGATAAAAAATAAGAAGGATAAAAAGTACGAGAGATATATTTTCTATCCTTCAAGGATGAAAAGTAAGAATAATACACTTTTCTTCCTTTGTATTTGGTTAGATTAATGAAAAATAAAAATTATTATTTAAAAAAAAAAAAAAATTTGTCTAATATTAAGGGTGACAATCAAATCATGTCGTGTCAGATTCGTGTTAAATCATAAAATTATGAGCTATTTATATTTCTTGTTCGTGTGTTAAATCATTTTCAAGTTCGTGTTAACTTCGAGTCGTGTTATCGTGTTAAATCGAAAATTTTCACCTTAGTTAAAATGAAAATAATATTTTTTTTATTTAATATATATATATATATATATATATATATATATATATATATATATCATTGTATTTTTATATGAAATTAATGCATACATAATATATAGACAAATAAGATATATCTCAACATAAATAATTAATTTTTTATCCATTTTCCTTCCGATTTTGGAGAAATTGATTTTGATGAGTTGGAAGGAAAGTCAATCTATCAACTTTTTTATCCTTCCCATTTTCCTTCCTTATCATATATGATATTTTATTTATCCGTTCAACTTTTCATCCTTCTAATTTTTCATCTTTTTTTTTTATCGTATCAAACAGATCGTAGATAATGAAAAAGAATCACAAACCAAGTGAAAAAGGTGAACCATCGACCAACTAAATTAAAAAAAAAAGAAGCCATATTCTCACATGTGAAGAAGTGAATAAAGCAAATGAACAAGGCCACGATCAAAGCAACAATCAAACTTCATTTTTGCAACTATTTCATAAAAGGTTTCCAGAATCAAAAGGCCTATGTTAACTAGGCGTCTTACAACACATTAACAAATGGGCATATTGTTACACATAGAATCTTAGAATTATCCATTTCGTTCACGTTTACCACCTCAACTATTTTTTCTTATTTGCACTGTAAATTATTGACTTGAGTTTCACACTGCTCCAATTTTAACTCAATTTTTCAAAAGATGGTATCCCACCATGCCAGAACATGTAGTTTTTCTAATCTCATCTCTGTAGAATCCAATTTTTGCTCTAATTTAATATGCAAAATTGAACAAAAGTCTATAATTAACCAATAATTTATCATGATATATAGTGGATGATTTAAAAGTCAATGTTAAACCAGGGTTATGTACAGAACCCTCCATACAAATTGTACCAAGTACAGAAACGGAACCATCAAATTACAAGTACAAAACCCTCCATACAAATTGTACCAACTACAGAACCCTCCTTAATGGCTCTACATTGAGCAAACTACCCTCCTTAACGGAACTCCTTTCTCCCTTCTGCATAAATCATCGAATTTTAAAAAATTCATCCACAAAAACTGAGAATCTGCTTTGTACCCGTGGAGATTTGTGTTCGCTTAACCACCTCTTACCATCCCTCACCAGAAATTAGATCACTTTTGACTTTCATCATCATAATAATTTCTTGACAAAGCATCATCGTTTTAGCCCATGAATGAGTGCTCAATCAATCAAATATCTCATTAGTAGAGTAATGATCAACAAAACCCATCAAAATTCAATCCAAAAGAGAATTATTCATAACTGAAAAACTCATACTTGTAGACATATATTAAAAGCTAAAGACGCACATCACCAATCTACTTGTAAAAGTTATTAAATTACATAATGAAAACCTAATCACATATCGCAGAAATACAAACTAAACTTAACCCATATTTGTTTAGAGGAAATACTTTATACCCCTATACTCTGACTGAAACTCTATGCAATGAAAAATCGATAATCTGCTCTACCAATTCGAACCTTCCCATGAAAAAATAAGGGAATTTTTCTAAAATTGGAGCAACCAAACATCAACAGGCATGCACAATCCAACAGCTGGCCGTGCAATTCAAACCAAATCAAGTCCAAGAATTCGACGCAAATCACTGGTGGCATCATTTTTCTCAGCCAAGACACTCCTTTTCTTGAAAAAAGCCGGTACAGGTAATGAGCTCGGCGGTGGCGACTCAATAAACGCCGATCCAGCATAAAAACCAGGGACGTTGATCTGTTTGGGTACCGTACCAGGCTCCGGAACCAAACGATCCGTCGAGGCCAACACAAAATCATCCAAATCTTTGGTCTGCAAACACTTCTCCCCTTTTATTGGAGTCCTTGCCGCCTTCTTTACCGTCTGGTCCAAGGCTTCACCGCGTTTTAGTATCTGCACTTGCTCCATGACAAGGGCATTTCTGGGTTTCTGACTGACAGCCACGGCCGTCGTCATGGTGGTGGTGCCACTCTTGGTAAGTGGACTCCGTTTTCGAGATCGATTCGACGATCTCGCAGAAATGGTGGTAGGCTTATGGTTATAAATGAAAGTGGGGTTAGGGTTAGAATTGGAATTTGGGTTTCGGCGAGAATTGATAGAACCAAAATTAGGAGAATTAATTAGATTTGAACGAGGCAGTCCCTCGTTGAACAAATCTTGGGGTTGAAGAACTACAACTCCTCCCATGGAAGATGAATTAGAGAGATGCATTAGGGTTCTAACGAAAGGGAAAAGAAAAATAAGATTACTAGGAAAAAGGTAGAAAATTAGATATGTTAAAATAACAATATCAACAACATACGAGGAATTGGGGAAGAATTCTAGAAAGGGGAACGGAAGGAGGAAAAAAGTGTTGGGAAACGAAAGCTTGGTGGAAACAGAATTGAAATTGAAATGTAAATCTGAATGGGAAATGGAATGGGGTTATATAGGATAGGGAAGGGAAGGCGGTGCATAGCGTGGCGACGTGGGAGAGGATTGTGGTAATCCACTCTCATTCAAAACGCGTGTTGATCCCTACTGTTTTTTCTGTCCAATATAGGGGTCTTATTCGGGAGAGGCATCTCTAATATATTTTTTATTTAATTTTTAAAAAAAATTATTTATCATACATTAAAATAAGATTCATTATATGTAAGTAATTTTTCCTAATTAATAATACGTGATTTTTCAAAGAAAAAAATTAGAAAGTATATATTGAAGATGATCTTTATTGCTAAGCAAGAGTTTAATTCATGTTAAAATATTATTTGACCCATTTATAATAATGTATAATTATATTTGTATCATGGTAGATTTATATTAATTAATTTATTTAAAGAGTCTAATATATATATTTATTCATTATTCTAAATCGCTACTACTAAATTTAAATTCTAAATTTAAATTTTAATTTAGAATTGAAAATTAAAAGTGGTGGCGTGCACGTCATTGTTGAAGCGCGTAGGGTGATGGGTTTTCCTTAGTGTTAGGAAATTCCCCCATCAAAGCAGCTGCAAAGAATACCCTGTATGGCAGTTTCTGACGTGTGAGACACACCCCATGACTCATGAAGATATCTATCCGCTTCATTCGCTATTACACCATGTACTTCTCCCAAATTACCATATCGCCATCTCACGATGCCTATTTGCTTTATGTGTAAGGAATAGTCCGAGTGCAACTTTGGCAAGTTTACCCTAGTCCAACTCTCGTCTAAACCAAAAAAAAATAGGGCTGTGATCGAGTTATTTGAAAGAGAAATTTAGAGGTCGATGTCCTTTTCAAGATTTATTTAGACTTAAATTTATTCAAAATTTTATTTGGAAATAATTGTATTTTAATCTTTATTGTTTAAAATACTCTCCGTAGTTACTATTTAATTAAAATTATATCTCTTTTTTATATCTATCTAAATATATATATTTTTTATAAGTTGTTCAACCTATTCTCAATTCACCATAAAAAATAGATATACTTGGAATTCATCAACCACTTCATTCTATGTGCCACAAGCAACCACTCCATCAATCAAGAAAGTCTATCCTCATTGTTGTGGTTATTTGAATGGTGTGATCAAAGAATTCAACTAGTATTAATACCTTGCTTGTCCACCTCTCTCTCTCCACAAAAAAATCTCAATGAATCAATGGGTAAGACTTGATTGTATTTTTGAACTGGAAATGAATAAAGTAATACTTTCCTGTACGGACACAAAATAAAATTATGTAGACCAGAATAGAATTCAAAAAAGCATTCTAACAGAAAGTAGAATCAAACATTAAAAAGATTAGCTGAAAATTGTAATTTATAAAAAAAAAGTTATTTTTTCATAATTTTTCTTTTCATTCCAGTCCATTTGTGTTCCTTTGACTATTTGAATCCAAAATTGTGTTTTTTGACTGTTATGCAAGGATTTTTCCCTTTTACCGTGACTTACAACATATTTATTAGATATAATTAGTAATTCTTAGGTTAGTGCTAATCAATTATACCATTTGTTTAATATCCTTCAATTTTATTCCCTGTTAAGATAATGAGCAATAAAATTGTTAATTCTGTTTATATGTTTATCTTCAAAACTACATACTGTAAAACTGATTATACCATTTTATTTTGTGACCTTTGAGATTATTTCTTTTATTAGTTGAAAAATCTCATACCGCTTGAGTATCTGTTATAAAACTGAAAATTTATAGCGAATTTAGGGATAAATTATTCTCTATCATTGGATTGAAAACAAACTTTACTATTGATTGAGATTTGTCACCAATTTAATAAGTATAATAAAAAAGATTAATGTTATGTTTGGTACAATAAAAAATAAAAAGATAAAAAGTTGGATGGATAGATAAAATATTATGTGTTGGTAAGGAAGTAAAATATGAACGATGGAAAAGTAGATAGATGAATCTCTCCAAAATTGGAAGAAAAATGAATGAAAAGTTAATTATTTGTATTGAAATGTATCTTATTTGTTTGTACATCATTTGATATATACATATATTATGGATACATTAATTTCATATATAAATATAATAATAAAATATGTATTTATAATTTTTTTTAAAAAAATAAAAATAAAAAATAATTTTTTTCTTCTTACCAAGCACAAAAAAAATAATTATTTTTATTTTTCATCGATCCTACAAAAACACAAAGGAAAAAAAATAGATCATTTCTATTTATCTTACAAAAACATAAAAGAAATAAAATGAATTATTTCTATTTTCTTTCCTTAGATAATAAAAAATATATCTATTTTATTTTTCATCGCTCCTAATTTTCATCATCAAATTCATGTAACATTTTTGGGTTGTTGGATAAGAAGTAAGAACGTTTAAGATGGGTTAGAATAAAAACTTTTGACCAAGTGTAGTACAAATTATCCTGTCTTAACTAGTATACGGGTCACGCTAGAATACAAGCTTTTGACCAATTATTTTGTACACTTTCAGTTTCAGGGGTATTTCCAGCAAGTTGCTGACAATCATCCATGCAGTCAATTTTTTTTTTTTTTTTTGAGTAATACTGTTTGGTTTTAAAAGTTTAATCTAATTTATTAATATAATGATATAATTTCAATAAAACTATTAAATCAACAGTAAATTCTAATATTTGATAGGTCCACAATTAATCCAAATATTCCAATAGCATTGCTCATGTTTTTTTAATTTGTAAAGTCGTACATAATGCACGTGATGTGTGAAAAGATGGTCATATACACGTGAGATGAGAGGTAGATTTGTAATTTACACCAAAAAGCAAGGACAAAAATATTAAAGAATAAACCTTGGATTCCTTACGTTAAATGACAGCTGGACCATTATTAAAAATGTTATCAACACGCGTCGTGTACTGAGAGGGACGACTTTGACGTTTCCAATGCCGACGTGTGTCCCTTTGTAGACTCCCACAACCGACTCCTTTTTTTTTTTTTTTTAAAAACATTTTTGGTACGGCCGGCTGATTAGTTAGGGCCTATCACCACCCAGGTTGACCGACATTAATTGGCCGGAGCGGGTTAGGGATGATCTCTAGATGACAAATAATGCTTTACTATTTGTGGTCGGAAAGTAATTGGTATTTAACCCCAAAAAAAAAAAAAGAAAGGTGAATTCACTGAATTGTACTTCGCATTATAAAAAGGGTGATTAAAATTTTCACAATATACTATTAATGTATTAAAATTATTATAATGTGACTTTATTTTAAGTTTTGTTGCTCATTTTGTTAAGGTCAATAAATTAATTTTTGATGAAATGAGCAACAGAAATTTGGGTATATTACAACATTTTTACTATATTGAGGGAAATATATTGTAAATTTAATTTTTAAGAGTGTGAAGTGAAAGATTTTAAATCTTTCAAAGAGTAAAATACGATTTCACCATAAAAGAAGTTAGTGGTGTAAGTGATAAAAAGATTATCTCTTATGAGATGATGCGAAATAGTTTTGAACACGGTTGTATGTTGTGCAATTCTCCTGCAAGACGAATAAACTGTCTAGGATCGGAGTAGACCGATCGAATACACTCAAATACTTAAGTTAGTACTAGATAGAGACGAAGGAATTTGCAAAGAAAATTGTGTGTACCTTTCTTGAACCTCCTTAGTTTTTTTTATAGATTCTTCACCTATTTTCCCTTAGGGTTCGGATTCTTTTTGTTTACAAGGTGAGGTGGTACACCTCTTATCATGCCAGACTTTCGGTTACACTCTATCGAAATTTTTCTAATGCTCGACAATTAACTAATTCTTTTGGATTGTTGGTGATGATTTGCCATGACTTTAGCAAATTCTTTATCCTATCCAATCTATTTTTTGAATGATATGTAGTTTACTATAACTTGGACCGAGTTGTTTAACGTTACTCAACCTAGTTAACCGAACAAACCATTGCATGGCCGAGCTATTTTATCAAGCTCGGCCTAATCGATCATGCATGTCTAGTAAATCGAGCATGCCTAACAGATGGTCCTTTATTTTTAACCCGACCTTAGCTAGCTTGGTCTTATATTGAACCGTTAGCATCTTTAATACACGAGTGTCTTAGTCGTGTACGTGTATTATTATTGTAAGACACGCGGTCATAATTTCTTGTCCCTTCACTTGTCCTTAGGAAACGTACGTCAGGTGAAATGTAATTGGCGATCGTTTCATATACCATTGTTGATGATTACCTGACTTTTCAAGCCATCCATCATTCTTGCATTAGTTTGACATTGTACTTTTCATTTAATGCTTCCATCATTGGTATTCAAACACTTCTTCCTTTGATGCTTATTTACCTCCTTTAAAAGGGGGGATTTCTGAGTATCTTTCATTGGTCTCCTTCTTCTTGTCTGAACTTATTTCTTTTGTTTCTTGCCCATTACTGGGATCTTTCTGCTGTCTTTCTCAAATGTATCCTCTTGCTCCTCTTGAAATTCCATCTTTTAGAACCAAGTACAACATCCTTGACGACGTAGAAGTTCACATGGCTTGTGAGATCCAGATGGATATTTTTAATAAGGAAAATATTTTTGGGTAATATAAATTATTATATAAAAGTTTGGGTTCTAGTTTAATACATTGGTTTAAGGGGGTGAGAAAGTGTGATTTTTCTTGCAATGATTAAAGTAAGTAGTATTAGATAAGCAAAAGAAAAAGGGAAAAAACAAAGAAAAAGAAAGGTGAGGGGGGGGGGGGGGGGGTTGCTTGGTGGTGGAAGATCAAACCGGACAAGGGGAATAGATAA